ATGCAGGAATGGTGCTATCAAGAAATGGAAAATTCACAATAGTTAAATTGAAATCATCACACTAATCATACAACCTTTTGGAAAACTGTCCATGTTGGTTTCGTTGTAGGAAATGATCGAGATAAGCGGCTGATTTATAAGAGTCTGTCGAGTCCTTCAATTTGATGGATATAGAAGATGGATGTGGTCTATACATTCTTTGTTATTTCATGACAATACGTCAACAATATATCGGCCAGAAATTTATTACCTGTTTTGATAAGCTTTTTAGATAAATTCAACCTCGTGTGAAAACAAAAACAAGTCAGTATAGAGAGATGCAATGGTTTTTTCACAAATGTATGTCAATAGTCTGTTGGAAGATCTTACCACCAAACTCGGGGAAGATGTTGTGAATCAGAAACTCGACCATTTTCACGATTTTCATCTTTCGTATATTTCTTCTTTGATTTGGACGTATTTTCCACGAAATGCACTATAGCATAGTTAAAAACCATATATCTGTACCGTCGCTCACCTTTCTTGGAAAAGAAAGCTCTCATAACTAGAAAACGAAGGCGTTGCATTGATTTAGAGTGTCAGCTGTCTCAGTAAAGTCTGTTGCTAGTTCTTCAGACGGTGTCAATATGTTTCCAACACTCGATATAGCTTTAGTCCAAGAGCGTGCATAATCCCAATATAGCTTTAGATTAGATAAAATGATCGAAGAGATCCTTAGCGTAGTGGTATTTTGAAAGTAAAAGGATTTTAATGATCAGGTTTCTTGCCTCATTCTATTTCTGAAATTTGCTTCTGTGTGGTGTAACTGTCTTGACCGACACATTTTCCCCGTATTTCCTTACTTACTGGTATGTTTCTGAAGCCTTTAGTTCAAGGTCTTTACTTACTGGTGTGTTTCTATAGCCTTTAGTTTTGGGTCTTTACTTACTGGTGTGTTTGTGTAGCCTTTAGTTTTGGGTCTTTACTTACTGGTGTGTTTGTGTAGCCTTTAGTTTTGGGTCTTTACTTACTGGTGTGTTTGTGTAGCCTTTAGTTTTGGGTCTTTACTTACTGCTGTGTTTCTGTAGTCTTTAGTTTTGGGTCTTTACTTACTGGTGTGTTTCTGTAGTCTTTAGTTTTGGGTCTTTACTTACTGGTCTGTTTCTGTAGCCTTTAGTTTTGGGTCTTTACTTACTAGTCTATTTCTGTAGCCTTTAGTTTTGGGTCTTTACTTACTGGTCTGTTTCTGTAGCCTTTAGTTTATGGTCTTTACTTACTGGTCTGTTTCTGTAGCCTTTAGTTTATGGTCTTTACTTACTGGTCTATTTCTGAAGGCTTTATTTTTTGGTCTTTGCTTACTGGTATGTTGTTGTAGCCTTGGTTTAATGGCCTTGCTTGCTCGATGAGTATTTTAGATGCCCATTGGAAATAACTGTGCCGTTCTCCCGGCTGACTTCTCGTTATTTTATCGAATATGTCATCAAAGCACTTGCCACAGTTGTCCTGCCAGACAAGATAACAATTGACTTATTGACCATGTCCATCGTTTGTATCCAACACACTTGGAAATCAAAATCACGACAAACTCTTCCTTATCTGACAGTTACCCCTCTTTGCCTGCAACACAGCCAACAGGTAGAAAATTACGATAATCGTGAAGAATTCCCTTTATCAACCTTGCTTCCCAACCTGGGATGCTTGCATGTCGCAATCGAATTAATATTCAAGGGTTTACGATTTATGTGAAAGACCAATACGTGTACAACACAGAGTTTCGATTGTCAAATGATGATGAAGACTATGGAGAAGATTTAAGGTCGCCATCATGACATCACTGGTAAACATTCTATTCCATTGCGCGGTATAGAAATAGATGTGCTCGACGTTCGTAATACGATAATCATGAACCAGGGTCTCATTTCAGAACGTGACATTGCTACTTGGGTTGACCAGGAGAGTACGAGACGTTTACCCATCCGGAACACCTGGTCTCATTCTCATGTTATTTGTTAAAGGGCATTGATGTAAATCTTTCTTTTGTTTACATTTTGCCATCATTTCATCAATTTTGAGTTTGACTGACAATTCTGTTAACATGTTATTTTTCTTTTATACGAAGTATGTACCGTTAAACTATCTCTATACATACCAATCAAATTCACTCCTCTCTGATAAGATCATGATTGTGACCATAAAGCTACTCCCCATAGTCTTCATCAACTTGCATCTCAAAACGCCGGCTATGTTGTCAGTTTACCTCAGTATTAGCCAATTCCTTTGCATGGCGAAGCGGAGATGTTGTCATACAGTTTAATATGTCTAGAATTCGGAAATTCGCAATAAAGAAAACCAAAGAAGATAATATACAAGTACATTGTATGATGTATGAAAAGATCGAGATAAACTATTCAGGTGGTAATTGCTAATTCAATTTTTGATGTCGCCCATTAATATATTCATTGTAGCGATAACACCAGATCATTTTAGTGATGTCAGCCACTTATAACTGTGATATCACCATACAGGATTTGTGATATATCACGCAGTATAACGAAATCACTAAATGACTAGATGTTGTCATCAATCCATTCTAATGATATAACATATTCAGATCTTCACCTCCTCGAGAGTCATTGGTTGAATGTAGTAAACGATTGTATTCTGCATTTGATTATAACATTGAAAGATTATGCCAATCAGCCGTCAACGAGAACATTGCCAATCAGAACTGAAAGTTTAGATGATAGATATATAATTCTCAGTATATATCATTTTCTTCTGTCAAGCGTATTTGGTCATATACTTAAAAGACCTCCTTTACTTTGGAAGGGGGTTTGGAGATATACAGAGTTGAGCTATTTATTTCCCTTTTTAAAAAAAACATGTCATTCGAAAGATGTTCCAGTTTGGTCAAAGTCTCGTTTGTTGTTTTCAAAATATAATCTATTACTTAGTGCACATTTATCTAACAATTTTTACTTAGTTCACATTTATCTAACAATCTTTACTTAGTACACATTTATCTAACTATCTGTCTCTAGCCTAGAAATACACGATTCTTTAATTATATCCAGTTTTCAATTTGTCCTTTAGTCTGGCATTTCACAAGTATGAAAAGTGCGAGAAAGAAGGAAATGATCCAGGAACGAGCATTGAGATTTACTGAGAGTGATTTTTATCTTATCTTTTATTCGTCTTTTAAAGGCAGCAAATACTACTTTTTTCCATGTCAAGAGGCTTAAAGTTATGGGCTGTGGTTTTTTTAAAAAATACTACACAAGCTGTCCCATGCATATATACAGGATTTAGTAAAAAATTTAAAATCTGCTTATGATTTCAGGAGATACTACAAAGTCAGCATTCCACGCGTAAAATCTGCAAGGTATTGACAGAAATCATTCTCTTATGAGGCTGCTCGGATGTAGAACAGCCTCCCAAATGAATTGTGGAGATGTCAATACTTTTTCAGAATTCCGGAGGCTGATCCACACATGGAGTGGTCCTATATGTACTTGCCCTATCTGTGTAATGATAAATTGATCTCTTTTAGCTATTATACTTTCCGTTTCCTTTTTATTTTATTTTTTGCCTGATCAAGGAATTTTGTTGGCAAGGACTTGTCCAACCACCTCAGTATTCTTAGACCTTAAGTTATATATTTGTTTTATTAGGATGTTTGTATTTTTACCAGAATTAATGTCTAACTGAATTAGCTTTTCATGTGATTATAATTTGATTTTGTATTTTTATTAAGCTATAGTTATTTTTAGTTGTGTTATAAATTCATTTTTATGTTGATGTCGTGCCTTACACATTACGCAAGTTCTGTTACTTTTATTGCAATATCCCTTCTGTAATTTTGTTCTTAGTGCAATATTTGTTATTTATTGTCGCAAAAATACTTCTTCTGAGCTAATGTTACATGTTTTATTGTATACGACAGAAAATAAATTTTCATGTATCTTGTATGACTCTTAAATAACCATTAGATTCCTTCGAGCATCATCAACAAGCTAAAGTAGCGTAGACGGCAAGTCTTCCGAATTATCCGAGATATATCGAACGGATTTTGTTTCGCTCAATTTCATTGGTAGAATGTAAAATAAGGAGCCAATTAAATTACATCTTGTATGTTCGCACGGGGTTTTAAAACAAGATGGCCTACAAGGGCAATATTAACGTCAGATAACCAAACACAGTATAAAATTGATCGGTAAGCATTCAATTCACAATTAATCAACTATTTGTATGAACATGTTGATCTGATCATTGAGTTGTGTGAGGTTAAAGTACCGATAAACATTTGTATTAGGCATGTATGTGAACTAAACATGGTGAATAAGATTTTCGTCTGCAATCAGGACATTTCACTGCTTTGCCTTTCAGCTGGACTTTTGCAATCTGCAGATCTGGTATCTTCGCTGCAAAATGTAGGCTGTCGTTGATGCAAAAATATATATACTATGATCTAATTCTTGCACTTGATTCAGCCATTGTATAATTTATCAATATTCAGTGTACTCGGTTCAGATTTATATATTTTGCAATGTACAAAGAAATTGCGAAATTGTGCACTGCTGTCTCATCTACAGAAAAAAATGTACACTATAGTGTGATATTCAACATGTAATGTGTATATCGTTTGTTATATAATGTGCACTCAGAAAACATCTGTTAGTTTGGAGCAAATGTGCATACTGTGCGATACTGTCATCATTAATAAAGAAAAAAACATCGATAGCAGAGTAAAGTTGTACACTAGATGATAGCAGACTGTTAGAGTTTGGTACTTAGTTTTTAACTAGCTTTTGCATTTGTTTAATAAAGGTATCTCTGGTATTACCCATTATTCATAGTTTGTGTCATATTATGTGTAGTCAAATGATTCTGAATTTGTTTGATGCATTAGTTGTGTGCCTTTTTCATAGTCTCTATTTTTTATTGACAGTTTATTGCACAGTTTTCACACACTAGTAATTGTCAGTTCCAAGTAATCACCATAGGATGGATGTGTTTGCATGATGACTGAAGGTTACTCAACAAGGGAGGCCCTTTCAGTTCTGTATGATGAACTTACCGCAGAAGTGGATAAGTATGAGGATGAAACTAAGCACAAGAAATGGAGGAGTTACCTTTCTCTTTTCCATCATGCCCACATAAAGTCTGCCTTTCACTGGACTAGTCTCTTGCTTCTGCTGGGCCTCTGCATTGCACTCTTTGTTGCATTCATCATCTCCAATGTTAAGTATGTCTTCTGTAACAATTCTGATTTTTAGAGTTGTTTATGATATTAAATTCTGGAAAATATTAAGATCCATATTGCAGTTTCCATTGTATCCTACATTTATATACCACAGCTGGAAAAGTAATAATGTTGATGTATATCCTATTAAAAAGAACCACTCAATATTCTCAATCAATGTAATTGGTTTTTTTACAGTAGAACCACTCTTCCTTACTTAAATACCCCCTGTTTTTTTTCTCAACTGAGCACTTAACCCTGACTATGTCCTGATATATTCATTGTTACTTAACCTCTGATTCCTTGACCAACTTTTTCTTGAATTCCCAGCATTCCTCAAGCTCATTTTTATACGCCCATCGAAAGACGGACGTATTATGGTATGGCGCTGTCCGGCCGGCCGGCATCCGTCGTAAACTTTGATTGTTCGGAGATCTCCTCCTAAATTTTTTCAGCCAATCTTTACGAAACTTGGTAGGCTTAATCACCATGATATGAAATTGTGTTTTCCTGAATGGGGTTCTGATAAGACGATTTGAATAAGAGTTATGCCCCTTTGCTGTTTTGGATATTCATGTGCGTATTTTGTTCCGCTTTGCGGTACTCTTGTTATTAATTTTTACACAACTGTATTTTTGATATACATTGTTAATGCTTTTTAGACAGTGGAATGTGGTAGAATTTTTGATCATTTTTTTTACTAAGTTTACCATGGCAGTGATATTTTGTTAATGATAAAGATGTGATCCAGTCAAATCTTTTTTTCCCATTTGTATATCTGTATTTATCTTAAGGGTATCCTTCTTTTTAACCAAATTGACTCTGGTAGTCCTGCTACTGAATTATTGATATTGACAGAAGCCATTTTACTTACCAAGTCTTTGAACAGAGTGTCCTTACAATTGTATCTACATGAAAAGTAAATTGCTGAATTAAATTTTTTCAGTGATGAAGATGTGAGTGGGCGTGGATGGTGGATGGCTGAAGTTGTGGTTATTCTATTGACAGTAACCACAAACATTTGCTTCAACATCTGGAATGGCAAGCAGGCACATGAGGAACTTATCTATGTGACTCGGTTGTCCCTTAGCAAACTAGAAGGTATGTATATTTGATTTTAACTCAATGAAGATTCTAGCTACATAATTCAGCCAAACAGTTAATTATGGGCAATATCCTACTTTAAGATGTTGGCAGTGTGGATGGTGTTGGGATTTTGTTGGGAACACAACTTCTTCTCAACTTCTATAAGTGGACTTTACGTGACACTTAATAGGAATACCATAGTCCTATTAAGATTACCTGACCAAGTGCTGTTATGTTTTGCCAGTACAAAATTTATTATGACCACCATTCCCTCTATCATGTAAAACCTATTTCCCACTTCCTTTGAAGTTTCATCGGTGGGTTTGATGTAAAATCTGGTAGTTATTTTCCTGAATTGATCTTACAAGTTTTAGGTTAGCATTTTTCAGGTTAGTTTCCATCATGGCCACCATTTCCATCATCTTGAAAAGTGCATTTGACATTTCTTGACAAGTTCTACCAGTGGACTTTTGCTGAAATACCAAGTAACCCTGATGTGATCTCCATTAAGGTGTATTAACTGTTTGTGTCAATCCAAAATCTTTCTCAAATTCATTTATTTTAACATTCAAACCTTGTGTGTGTCCATTTCTTGAGAAGTCTAGGACATATTTTTAATTTACACACAATGTAAAGGGCAGGAACTCTAGCATCAAACTTAAGACAATCAGGTAAAGTCAGGCACCAAGAATTAGAAACAAATTTATATAAACTCGTGTCCAAATTACTTTCTTATGTTGAAGATATGAATCTTTTCATGAAAATCTGTTTAAATTTTGGGAAACAATCAATATTTAGATATATTTTACATGTGGAACATATACCAAAGTTTATAATCTCTTAACTGATGTGAAACAGAATATTTTTAACTTGCAAGATACAAGTTAAAACTGATGTTTAAAATCTTTTATGATCAAAAGGAATATCCTTTTCAATAAAATCTGCATGGTGGTGCTGTTAACTGATTATGTGAATGGTTATGAACATTCCTCATCAATTATTAAATAGTTTATACCTGCTATTGTGCCAACAACAAATTATTACCATCATAATTTCCCTACTATTTTATGGTCTCTTTGTAACTTTTTAATAGTGCAAAATTGCTTGTTACAGCTGAATGATCATATATGATCATAAATCATGTGTGTGTTGTTCAAAGTTAAATCAGATTTGTGTATTCTGACTTTAGCAAACTTTCATGCTTTTGATATTTTTTTAAACCAGATTCAAAACTCATTCTTTGCTCTCAGTCATTAGTTCTTTGGAAGAAAATGTTACATTTGATGTATTGTTATTCAGAAATGAAATTAAATATTTTTATTAGCTTTGTGTATATTAATAATGAGTTCATTGTATCAGTAATGACTAGTCCCATTTACCTAAACATGTAAATAATATAGTTATGGTATATATATTTTACTGGCCATTCTTTGCTTGGAATTATGCTTACATTCTGAAATTGATAAGAATTCTGCACAGCTTCACCTTGCATACCAGTTTATTCAATTGGAAAATCACTCTCATTTAGTTTAACACATCCAATTGAGCCTGTGGGAAAACACTTGCTTCAGATTAGCTGACTGGATGGTATTAATGTAGTTATCATTGTGAATCAGAAGGAAGAACTTATACTTCTGCCAAATAATTAATGCTTGTTTCATTACTAGACTTTATAACAGTCCTTTTAATGCCCTGAAAATTCACATTAGACAAAGACATTTGTTTATAATCACTAATTAAGAAAGCTGATAGGAAATAACATTACAAAAAGTCATTAGTAGGTGATTATTTGTAGGCCATGCAATGCTATCATTATCTGATCAGAAAAGTTCACTTAAGAAAGGCAGTCAGTTTTGTATGATTACACATCAAATGGAATTAATGACTTTACAGATCAGTTATTTGGAACAGTAAACTTTTAAAATGTCTCCTGTTTGTGGTCTTTATTGACAATTCTATACTGAATTACCAGTGTAGCAGAGAAAAATGTATGTAACCACAACCGTTTTCCTTTAATCTATGTTGATGAGGATTGAAGGGTTACACTTGCTATTACAACATGTGGCAACCACTGTTATAATCATATCAGATCAAAATGGTATGTTGTCCCAAGTTCATTCACATACGCTTCCTTCAGTTTCCTCCATAGTAATATTGTTACATGTCCATATTTTTGGGGAATGTTGTACCCTTTTAGTGATATAATATGCATAAGTTCTGCAATACATGATTTTGTTGTAAGCCATGCAGGCCAAGCAGGTGATTTAACATTGAGGTTGTGATGGGCTTATTCTCAAATGAGATAATCCAGTCTGTTATTTTGTAAATTAAATCTATTTTGTACTGATTGAATTTTAACAGAGTGTATAGACAACAACACCTGGAACAACAGTAACTATCCAACACTGCATGCCCCCATTTCTCCCTGTGTCTCTCTCCAATGGACCATCCGTGACAAGGAAGTTGTCAACCTACCAACCACTCTGCTTGTCCAAGGTGACATTATACTCCTTAGGCCAGGCCAGGAAGCTCCAGCAGAGTGTCGTGAGGTTGAGGTCAGTATATCAAAGTCAAGGTCATTTTTTTTCAATAGTGGGTTATATAAAAGTAAAAAAATTAGTGCTAAAAGAAGACAACTTCACATTCAAAGTAGTATTTCATGAGTAAGGTGTTTTTGGTTCTTCTCTCTGTTTATCCTGAACATGTACATGGTTATTACTGTCTAATAGTTTGTAATTAAATGGAAGATAAATAGATTGATATATTATAATTATAGATATATAATGTATAATGATAGGTCAACCTGTTGTACAAATTGACACTGATAAGAACCATCAAATCATCAAGGTAAGGGTCACAGCAAGGATCACATGAAGTCACTTCAAGCTTTTCAAATTATTTTTCATCCATGGTCAGTCCATCCATTCAATGATTCCTCTAGGTGTTTGTCCATCAATCTGGACAGTCCTAAAGATATTTTTTGTGATCCCAATGTCTCAAAATCTTCAGAAGGGAATATCATTAGATTTTAATATCATTGACAAGTCCTAGATGGATGAATCAGCAGTAGTATGATACAGGTTTTCTTTGCCTGTTTATCTAACTCTAAATTTGTATGAAAATGTGCTATCAACTTTGTGTTTTGTACCATCTTGTAACTACTTAAGAGACAAGTTCAAAATGGGTCCTTTAACTTGTTGTATGTGCCTAATTTTTTGCATGAATGGATTGAAGATTTTGACATTTCAGTTTGTGATTTTTGTTTTCCTAGAACTATTCAGTACATCATCTTAAAACTTCAGACATTTTCAGTAAAGGTTTTAGTTTTGTATGTCATATTTGAGCACGGTTGTATTTTCAAGGTAGCCAAAATAACCATTTTGGGATTTGACATCTTAGGGAGGGACATATATGGGTGTCAAGGGTAAATGCAGCTATTACAAATTACATGTATCTGATGTTCGAGATGGCTGCCAGCAGCCACTAAAACTTTGACGTTTAAAGTTTGTTTCTTCTATTTCTGAAGTAATAAAGGGTATATCTGCTGATGTAGGAGGGGTCCAAATTGTGCATGCAAGACTTTGAGTCTGATTGAATTATTAAAATGGTTTGCAGTAGATAGATTATTTAGAGAAAAGAAACAAAATTAAGGACTAATGAGAATCACACTATGGAGAATGCCCAACCTCTGTGGAATATGTTGTTTCTAAATAAAGAATATTTCAATAGGTATTGATGAAGCAGTGATATATGAATATGTTTAATTTCTCAGAGTTTTAATTCTGTAAGCATACATGTTGGGTAAAATTCAAATGATTTATCTGTGAAAGGAATCCAATGAGGGACAGGACACCTTTTTGAAGATGGGGGATGTGTACTCACCCCAGGGAGAGGATTATACAGAAGAAATCAAGGGCCCTCATGGCAAATCTCCTCTCACTTCCAAGCAGTTCATACTCCTGGAGACCCCTTTCATTAAACACATCAGGTAAGTCACCTCTCGCTTCTAAACAACTTGTATATCTGAAGAGCTCCTTCACAAAACACATAGGTAAATCACCCCGCACTTTTAAACCATTCACTGTCCTGGAGACCCTGTCTTTGTTTCATAATCTCAAAGACCTCCTTCACAAAATGCATCTGGTAAATAAACCATCACCTCTAAACAATATTATATATCATTTTTGTTGGACTTTTCTGACAGATACACTGTAGATAGGTGTATAGATCTGAGAAGTATTGACATTTAGTTAGAAATGTTGCCCATCAAATGTTGATAGCTGCAATTCCATATTCAGTAAACCACCTGTCATTCCATGCAAAATTTAGAAATTATAGTTGGACATAATCAAATTATACAAAGATTTGTCAGTGAAAAGAAAATTGAGTTCTCTATGCCAAAATCAAGTATTGCAAAGTATTTGATTTTAAACTTTCTAGAAAGGCACCAAGCTACTGCATGTTAAAAATGTGACCTCTTCGGTTTTGCAGGCTTATTCTGGAGGACAGTACAAGGAGACCAGTTAGTAACACAGAGAAGGTGCGCTACATCATCTGCTCCAAGTGGCTAGAACACAGAATCCTGCCAGTAGTCTTGGTGAGTATGTCTGCAAGTAACACAGACAAGGCATGCTACATCATCTGCTTGAAAAGGCTAGAGCACAGAATTCTACTTTTTGTCTTTGTTAATTTATACATGTACTAGTATGTAACATAGTGAAAGTGTGATAAATAATTAGCTCACACAGATACATTCATCTATAGACTGAATTTTGTTCAGAGTAAGATTGTTTTTAATGATTTTTTCTGGAGTTATGCCCCTTGTATCATGTCATTATAGAATCGTGAAGTTTATACAGCATATTACTTAGGTGCAAAAGATCAGTACCTAAAATGGATGTGTAATGTTTTTATTTTGTATTTTTATTGCAATGATTTTCAATCATGTTATTTTGATGATGTCCATATACAGTTTGTCAGAGGTAGTCTTGTTTACTCTTTCAACCAATGCTTTTAAAACTTCGTACTAGTGGTCAGTACCTAGCTAGGTTAGTTGAGCACTCACATTTGAGTTATGCTCCTTTCTGATATTCTCGCATGAATTTCTATTTGAGAGCTTGGAGTATTAAATTAACCTTTGACTTACTATTTTAGTTTATTTCTTAAACTAGGATATTAACACGAATAAAGTCCTGCCTGATAATAAGTAATTGAGTTCCAATTAAAATTATTAGCAACAAGTGTTTCCTTATTGTCTAGCATTAAGTCAACTCCCTTATCTTGAACCAGATCTAATTTTTTGTATTGGCCATATGGCATATTTCAAGGCAGTGATAGTGTTATATATCATTAAAAGGGTTATGGTAACAGGAGCAGCACTACTGACATTTTTTGTTCATTGGTGAGATGTTGAGTTTTCTTAATCCTCCAGCACTTCTGACATAAACTTTTGTATTTCTTGTCCATTTCAAAAAATAAGCATCGAAAAATTGTATTCTCTCATTCACATATATTTGTAAAAATAACCAAAAAAGTTCAATGACAGTATATTGATATTACTTTTACAAATATTCTTGTCACTATGAGTAAGATGTTTTACATGTACATATATATACTGTGAAAAAGCTACAGCCTAAAATAAAGTGCTGATTCTTATAATTTCTTTTTTTTGCCAGATTTTGGTATTGATTACCAATGTTTTGCGCTTGGTGTATCTCAAAGGTCACTCTGGACACTGGGCAGAAATGATCCTTGTCTTACCCGTAAGTTTCACCTGTTCAGGCACAACAGATTAAAGCAATACAAGCTTTACAATTTATCCCATTGGTCATTGATATCAACTAATCTTTGTCTAAATAAACATTAAAGCATTAGGGTACAGAATGTCTGTTACTGTTTAGTGTAAGTTTCAGCTGTTATTACAGATTTCCCTTGACCTATGTATTGTTGTTTTCAGCTATTTCAGTGTAATGTCATAAAATATTTCATATATTAAGACTGTGTATATGTAAGCTGCCTTCTTTGATGGCAGAATATGGAATTATTGATTAATGTATTAATTACTGCTATATGTTTTGTTGTTCATTGTTTATTGATATACTGTACATAGTGTTGATTTATCTTAACTAGAGTCACACACTGCTCCCATTACTTCCCCTACTATTTCCTCTGGCCTGGCGTCTCCTCAACTTCTATGGACAGGCACGAGTCTTCACTGTATTCAGTGTTGCCAAGGATACAAAGGTATGTATCAGTTCTGTTTTAATTCTGATTCATTATATAACTAGTTTACACTTTCAAATTCAACATGGTCTAATACTGATCAATGTTTTCTTTTTATCATATTAACAGATTGGTCTTATACATGCATGTTGAGAGATATAACAACACTTCAAGACTAATATTATTGTGTCTTCATCTTCAAACACTGTTTTATAAAACTTGTGCATTTTCTGCATTGTTCACATTAAGGTGACTTGTGAGGACAGTTTTAGTACCAATAGTACAATATCAGTGGATGAAGCAAGAGTAGACATGGACTGGACACTGGTGAGGGACTGGTTCTGGCTGGTTTTGTCAGGCCGTGCTCCTGCCCCTACACGACGGGTGAACATCTCGCACATTCTTGGCTCTGTTACCGTATGTAAATTTATAACTTCATTACATCTGTCTAGAATCATTATATCTAAAGTGTTTTGGTCTATTGTATTAGTGTTTTGTTAGAATTCTAGATTGACAACCGTAAACAGAGGGCTATACATACAAAGCTTGACAGGCTTTTTCCATGAGTGATGTAACACCTTTAGAAAAAATACACATACAATCTTGACATATTTACATTATCATCTGAAACTTTTCCATTTTGCACATAAAATTTACATGGAAAAAAACATGTCTGGTAAGTGTACTTGGTCATTATATTAGTTTTAATACTTTTTTGATTCCGCTGTGCTAGGTTGATCTGTGTCATTCTATTTTTCAGTCGTTGTGTTGTGTTGACAAAAAGGGTCTATTGTCCTGGCCTAATCCCAGTGCCGAGAAAGTCTTCTTTCTATCCTCACATGATAAGGGCAATCCAACTATCGACATTTCATCCACAGACAACGACAAGAAAAAGGAGGGGAATGATACCAAACCTGCTCTTGTTAAAGGTAAATATGTTTATGGGAATTAAGACTGTACTGAATAAGTAGTTTAGGTCGGAAGAGTTTTCAGCAAGTTTGTGTACAATGACAGTTTCATTATGATTTCATATGAACTGCTTGATGGTTATTAGTATTTTATGTGGGAGTCAAAGATAATCTGAACTTTCCATTTACACCACCAATGAAAGAAGAATAATTCTCAATATTACTCTAGATTAATGGGAAAAAAAATTTGGTTCTATTTTAATTGATACTAAAAACGCATGTAGCTGCATTTAGTTTGAACATCTGTCACCCTTCTTAAAAGTCAATGATTAAATTTCGTCAGAAAATATTTAAAAAAAAAACAGAAAACAAAAAAATAAATAATATTTAAACTTACAATAGTTTAAGGGTCAATCAGATCAGATTATTTGAGAGAGAGGAAAAGAAACTGTTTTATAATGTCTGTATGAAAGTTATTGCTAGAAGTATTGTAAAGGTTATTTTGCTCACAGGACTGAATTTTTGCTGATTAAGTTTGAAAATTTCATTGGATTGATTTATTTTATGCTATCCATGTGCAGAAATATGAAGTATTACACAACTTGGATGGAGCATAAAGTCTGTTGATACAGTAAATATGTTATCTACCTTGGTCTAAATATAAGCTTTTACAATACTGCTTATCTAAGTCCACCATGATTTCATCAATTTGTTTTTATATTAAAAACTGGGTTTTAGTATTCGAAATCTGATTGTTTCTTATGGTGTGACTTTTACAATCAAAGCAGTTTGTATTTTCTGAGAAATTAGTGCAAGCACTATTTCTTTACACAAATGAAAATGATGCAGTTCCAAAGCACAAATATGATCCTCAAAACATTCTGCTAGATGCCTTTTGTTTACTGAAGATGTAATCATGTCAGTTTGAAATTTTTTCAGACTCTTAAAATCCATTTAAATTTCACATTTCTGTACTCAAAAAGGTACCAAGGGTATTCCAAAGCTATTAGTTGCATTTAGCTCTGTCTTCTTGAAAGCTTACAAACTACTGTAACTATCTGCATGTAATAAGCACATTTTCAGCTCATTTCGCCTTTCAGTGGCTGCAATCTTTGCACAAGAACAATGCATTCTTGAAAGTCTGTTTTCAGTTTACCTTGTTTGTGTCACTTTTATAGATAATGATAATGTTTCCATATTTATTAACAAAATTGTTTCATATCATATAGATATATTATGTGTCATGGGTGCAATGTAGTGCAGCATGAAATTTGATCCTTTCAAACAAGCATTAACAAGGTAGACCACAGACAAAAAAATATACCAAATGATACAATTATTTATTCTTACATCATTTTTTTCAATTTTGAAATTTTGAAATTTTGACAGTCAATGTATTTCTGATCACCTCTCTTCCTGAATACTTCTGTTAACAGCATGTCATAATAGCTCATAACTTACTACAAATGATTTCAAAGATGATCTATCTGTTTGCATATAAGGATATCCTGATGGTGTCTGCTTGACAGAGAATTAATGTCATAAAAGACAAAACTGGAAGTGTAGAGATTCCTATATTTCTATTGTCCTACATCGCTGATTGTAGATCTGTGAATCCTGTGTGGATCAGCTCCAAAGACAATCTTTATATCAATACTGTCGAGTCACTACTTTATCTTTGATAAATGTAATACAGGGAAATTCAAGTGGATAGTTAATGATGCACATGTACCAAGTGGCTGTGCACTTGTGGAGAAATACTAGACTTTGAAAATTTTCAGTTAGTTAATACTAAACTTGAGAAATTATATGTTACTGATTGTCTTAAAATTAAAATTTGTGAAAATATAACATAACTAATTAAATGTTCTTTATCATTGACTTTTCCAGCATATGAATCTCCAAGCCATGTAGAAGTACTAGACCTGACTCATGACAGCAAGGTAAGAAAACTTAGTATGAATCATTCAAAGTGTAGCTTTTGTAATTGTTTAATTAATTTTTTAAATAACCAGACCCAATGTCATAGCATGTTGGAATGGAGGTTTCTAAAGCTTGTTCAGTGATGGTCATTGACCTGTCTTCAATGATGCGAAGGTTGATTCTGCTTAAATAAAATCAACTGGGATTTCTTACATATAAGCAAGAGGTCCAGGGCCATGACTGTGACTGTTATGGTTTGCCAGTTAACCTGTTATGGATAACATGGTTTGAATGCCTTGGGATGTAAAAGTGCACTCAAACCCTGAAACTGAAGATGAATGAAATTATAAAAAGATTTCAGTATTGACAAACTTGCAATAAGATATTTATTAATGCGCTTTGAAACATGGGTTTTTTTGTGTATCATGTACTGGTGTATGTTGTGTGAACTGATACCTGGCATTGACCTCATAATTTGCTCTTCCAAAAGTGATCATCTGTCTTTTGTGTCTACTAAATTGATTGTTTTCAGCAATACAAATGTTTGCATTTATTTACTTTCATGAATTCTGAGTAACTTTTGTAAAACTGGAAGTGAACAGTCTCAATTTATATGCTTAAGGGAGCCCAGTTCCTTGTTAATTATTTTGGCCACAACAGGTACCATATTTTCTGGGTTGTAAGTTGCACCATTAATACTGTGTAGGCCGTAGAGCTCGATTTGATCCTGATTATTAGCGGCACTTGAAAATAAGCTGTAAATTTCCTTGTGATATGGTAATCACTATGTTGATCTTAGTTTGTTAATATAACAGACAACAGAAGGCAGTTTATCAAGATCATCAGTGAAACATATGATAAAGCTTGCAAATAAATTATGTGCAAATAATCCTTTATTTCATCGATTATTTATTCCAATTGTATTACCAAATATCAAATATTGACCTCGTTTGAGGTCTTCAAAGATTATCTTTGCACCAATATATGGCATAAAGTAGTACATTTTACTAAACATTCTCGCCATTGATGTTCGTACTGTTAAATATTAATGAAGAATCTTACATGCTGACCAAGTTCCTGTAATCCCATGATACTTCTTCATGAAAATTGCATTGATTCTATTCATATTGAAAACAAACATGGTGGATGGTCTTGAATCTGACATATGGACAGTATGCAATAGGCTATTGTAAACTAGCTTCTTTCATGCCTTCTTGCAATTGCTGTGAAGTTCCCACGAAAGTCAAGAAGACATTATTAGGATTCATATTAAAAGTTATGATTAATTAAATCCATGAGGATGTTATTTTATTTCAATTTTTAAACGATCCTGTACACAATTACAAGTGAAGGTTCTACATGATTTGTTTCAGTCATAAACATGGTGGGCAGGTACTCGTACTCAGGTACCAACAGCACCTGTCCGCTACAATTTTTTTTCTTTTTCATTCTCCTTTTTTCATTCACATTTGAGCTGTACCAGTACGTAAGCAGCACACCCAGCTCACAAAGAAAAAAGCCGCAGCTTATGTAACAGGGTCATATAACCTGAATTAATTATGTTCTCCGTGCTTCATTGTGTTCAATTATTACATATATATTTATGATATTTATGACTGTGAAATATAATATTTATTTGTAAATATAGGCACAGTGTAAGTGAAATTGTATATATGTACGTATTCTTCGCGTGTATTTATGTTAACGCGTATAGTAATGAGTTTGCCGTAATTTTATTACGTTATTACATTTAATACGGTACGATATGTGTGTATGTACTCCTGTTGTTTTACCGTGCTATTTTTTTAGATCTCTACGGACATTACCAACTGGACATTGGGTTGACTGATTCTTTTGTCTTTTCTCCTTTTACCATCGGTTCTTTCCTTCGTTAATCCATCTTTTCTATTTCCTACTCACGAAATTCAAATCTACACACTTTCTTAGAGATAGGTCGCATACAGACCTACACATTATAGCTTACCTGAATTTGATCAGAGATCCATATAGATTGTTGATTATTATAGCTTCATACTTCAAGTATCAAGATGTAGCTAGCCACCACATCAGACGTGATGGTTTGAGTTTTGAACCTGCTTAATAAATACTGACAGAATCCAGAAAGATTGTTGTTTAATCTGTGAAATCTGGGATTGTTACACTTATAATTCAGAAAATATGCTAAGCTTGCCAAAAGTCATACACCAAAATAGACTTTTGTCACTTCATCAACAGCAAATTTGGTAAAATACCATGACAAGAAAACAACTTGAATTAACTTCTAAATAACTTCTAACAAGATGTCAGGTGAAGTTTAAAAAGCTTCTATGTCTCTCATGTATAGGTGACCTGGTCATTGAATTCAAGCTGTTAGAATTTTTACCTGAGAGTTACCAAAAACAGACCCCTTAGATTCAAACATTCAGGGGAATTAATTGCCCTCTTCTCTGAAATTAGCAACATATTTTTTAAACATGCTATAGCTGTTTGTACCGTACATGTAGATTCATGATAAACTGCTCAATTTGATGGGATTTATTTTTTGCTTTTTCATTTGATTATGAAGTAAAGTTGGGCTACAATAGCTGTTCTGTACAGCACTTGTTCATATGTAGGCATTCTTATCTATAAAGATGTATGCTAATTGTGCTTTTACTATGTGTTATGGTTTCTATACTATATGTAACCACATTGTGTTATGTACTCATACCATATAGAGTAGAACCAACCATGTATAGGACATGATGATTTGGCTTGTTCAAGGAGGGTTTATTTTGTAGAAGTGATTGAAGTTGACTGGTCAGGACCCAGATTTCATTGACTGTTCTCTACATTACATAAACCATTCTGTTAGCTTTAAGCATTTATACTGCTTATGTCCAAATGAATACAAGAAAAACTTAATAAAGGGAAACCATTTTGATAAAGTGAAAAAAACAATATGTAATAGGTGACTTCTATTGAAAAGATATCCATGTATTGCAAGGCAATGTTGGCACTTTATGTTACTTACCATACACATGGCCAAACACAACTCCCTTTCCTGTTGGTTTGTCTGAAAGTGTTTATAGCAGATCTATTCAATGAACTGGTGATTTCGTTGATCAGTATAACAAATTATCATTTAGAAACAAACATTCATTAATGTTTCCATTTCACAGTTGTATTATATATTCTGTATGTACATAATATTTTATATTACATATAACATATTCAATGGCTCACAATTTAGATGCAAAACTGCAGCTTTCCGGCTCAGTATAGGTACTTTTTTTAACTTAGTTTATATCCCTCACATGTACCAGTAAAATGATGGATATGCTTTATATGGTTTCATCTTGTCATTGTTGATAATGCTAGAATAATGTTTATCATAACCCTCCTGATCAGAATAAGTCTTATGTCCAAAGCCAACATGCAACATGTATGTAGTTGGTCGCAAAGCTCATAACTGTTGCCACATGTGTTTATTTTACGGTCTGCTAGGCAGAATTCAGGTATTGTTCACTCAGGTGAGACAGATATTCAGAAGTTAATTTCAGAATGTTTCAATTACTCCAGACACAAAATAGCTTCAGTATTCTTAATCAAGAGGGATCAGTATTTTGAAGTTTCATTTTAATGAAGATGACATCATTCCAAACATCACCACCAAACATCACCATTTCATTTGGTTTTGAAATTCGATCAGTTTAGAGAAGGATATTGTTTTTCGAAGTTGTACTGTATGTATATCGGTGTAGCCCTAATTTGTATGCTGTTAGGACTATGATACAATATAGAATTTTGAACTAGGTATCAGAGTATACCTAATACATAAATGTAGTTACTTTGAATGAGTTATCTTCCTTTGTCCACTCCTTATGATGCCTACAAATTGCCCATATGACCATATTTTGCCTCTGTAGACATGATCACTAATGTGCTTACTATATGACTGTTGTGATGACTGTTGAGATTCGAACCAGATTCCAATAGAACATGAGTCTAGGATTCACTAGCAGCAAGGAATGTCTGTCAAGTTAGTGACACAACATTAAGAATACACAGAATAATGATAACCACTCTACCCAACACCCAGTCATACAACACAGAATAATGATACCCACTCTACCTTACACCAAGTCATACAACACAGAATAATGATACCCACTCTACCCAACACCAAGTCATACAACACAGAATAATGATACCCACTCTACCCAACACCCAGTCATACAACACAGAATAATGATACCCACTCTACCTTACACCCAGTCATACAACACAGAATAATGATACCCACTCTACAACTTACACCATGATACACTCTACAACACAGAATAATGATACTTACACCAACACCCAGTCATACAACACAGAATAATGATACCCACTCTACCTTACACCCAGTCATACAACACAGAATAATGATACCCACTCTACCCAACACCAAGTCATACAACACAGAATAATGATACCCACTCTACCCAACACCCAGTCATACAACACAGAATAATGATACCCACTCTACCTTACACCAAGGCATACAACACAGAATAATGATACCCACTCATACAACACAGAATAATGATAGCCACTCTATCTTACACCAAGTCATACAACACAGAATAATGATACCCACTCTATCTTACACCCAGTCATACAACACAGAATAATGATACCCACTCTACCCAACACCAAGTCATACAACACAGAATAATGATACCCACTCTACCCAACACCAAGTCTTACAACACAGAATAATGATACCCACTCTATCTTACACCAAGTCATACAACACAGAATAATGATACCCACTCTACCCAACACCCAGTCATACAACACAGAATAATGATACCCACTCTACCCAACACCCAGTCATACAACACAGAATAATCATACAACACAGAATAATGATACCCACTCTACCCAACACCAAGTCATACAACACAGAATAATGATACCCACTCTACCTTACACCCAGTCATACAACACAGAATAATGATACCCACTCTACCCAACACCCAGTCATACAACA